TGCGTCTCTCATTTTCCTATTATCTCTCATTTTTTAGGTATTCTTCCCGGTGTTGTTGTATGCAAATTAAGCGCATTTCTGGTCAACACTTCTTCATTTTTCGTCCACTGGGCATGGGTATCAATGTATGTGCAGGTAAGATGGGTTACTGTAGTTTAGAAGTTGGTGTAAACATTGAATCTGACGACGAACTGCACATTTTGTTCTGAATATACTTTGAAATATCGAAAAATGAGTTTCAGCGCTTCCTCCACGTCTTCTTCCCTCTTCGCGCCCATCGTGCAGGCGTTAAAAGCAAGGATATTATATTGGTGTGAGTTTTAGGGTATATCTAAAAAACTATGAAAGCTAGAAAAAAGGTGTGAACTAAAAAATTACTCAGCATAAAAATTTACACATTTTTGTAGTTTGTAGTGGTTTTGTAGCTAATGAATGACGCGAGATATGGGTCTTTAAACTTAAAAAAAACTCAAAAGTGTGTGTGTATTTGTCTCGTCAAAAACGCATATCTCAAAAACTACTGTAGCTATCAAAACGGTGTAAATTATAAAAATGCTTAGCATTACATTTTACACATTTTTGTAGTTTGTAGTTTCTCGATAGCTATCAAACTAAGCGAGATATGCGCCTTTAAAACATTAACTAATGAGAGGGAGACGCAGGCGGCGCGCCGCTCAAGTTTCCCTGCGTCTCCCTACACTCCTTGGCAGCATATAATTTTCAAAACCGTATATCTCGAGAACTACTGTAGCTATGAAACAACTACAAACTACAAAATTGCTCAACATTAAATTTCACACATTTTTGTAGTTTGTAGTTTTTTTATAGCTAGCGAACTAAGAAAGATATGAGGCTTTGAACATTAGCTAGGGCGCGCCTCTCTCGTTTCTCTGCGTCTCTCCCTTCCTAAAATGTTTAAAGGCGCATATCTTGCGTAGTTTTATAGCTATCAAAAACTATAAACTACAAAAATGTGTGAATTTTAATGCTGAGCAATTTCGTAGTCAACAACTTTTTGCTAGCTCTTCTAGTTTTTAAGATAATTCAATTGAAATGATTCTAGTTGTTCTTTTTTCAGACTATTCGCGTTTTCGGTTATCTCTCAACTCTGGTCACCAATTCTTATCACTGAAATCTCACTTGGCGCCGACGAATCTTCTGGAACCTATTGTGCTGAGGATCCCAAGATTTTCGGCGAATCCACATTGAAATATTTGATATTTTTCGAATGTTTCATGACATTTTTCCTTCCATTCGTTCTTACGGTAGTCGTCGATTTCTCGGTGCTTATCATGCGAAATCCGTGTACGCAGAAGAAGGCGTTTACCGTAATCTCGGCGGACGAGATTGTGCATCAGGATGAGAAGAGCCCGTTGAAAATTGTGCATAAGTCGAAAATTATGGTAAGTTATTCACAGTTAGAGGCGATATCTCAAAGACTAGCATAGCTAGCGGAAAACCACAAACTACAAAATTGTGGAAGATTAAATTTCACACATTTTCGCAGTTGGCAACTTTTTTGATAGCTACAGTAGTTCTTGAGATATGCGCCTTTAAACATTCACGAATGGTAGACGCAGAGAAACGAGAGCGGCGCG